AACCATGCAACTGACCATGTGAGATCCCACTGCCTTAAGCAACATGCCATCAGCTGGCCCAACCATCACACTTTTTATCTGCACAGTTTTGGTAGAAATAAGTCATAGCTAAGAGTCAAGGTTAAGAGCAGGGATTTAGAGGCAGCGAACCTGCATTTTAATTTTAATTCTGCCTCCTAATCGAGAAGTGACGAAATATCTCTATGCCTCATGGTGAAGACTAAATAAGATAGTACATGTAGCAATCTCAGAAGAGTGCCTCGTTTACAGAGGGTATCGATAAATGGGAGTTGTAGTATTCATATTGCTTGATATATAATTTTACTATGCCTTGAATATAATATATAAAGCAATGCATAGTTTGGCTGGAAAGGGCAAGAATGACTAAATCACCCTGGTGCAAAAGCCAGCAGAGTGAAGGAAAGGAGGTCCCTGTGCTGTCTCTGGAAAGGGTTGGTGGCAGGGCCTCAGGTGTTCACTTGGACATGCCAGTAGCCACTGCAGATTGTTCAAGAAAGCCCCAATACAGTTGCCATGACATTCCAGGTTTGAGCCCCAGACCTGTACACATGAACCCGGCCTGGGCTGTCCCTCTAGCCCTGCTTAATCCTTGTATCAGTTATCTGTTGCTGTGATAATGTCACGTAACAAATTATCCCAGAATTTGGGAGCTTGCAACAGTAAGTGTTGGTTATTGATCAGAAGTCTACAGGTCAGCTGGACAGTCCTGTTGATCTGCACCTGGCTCAGTTTGTCATACTTCCATGGTCATCTGGAAGGTTACTGGGGGCTCTCTGGTTTAGGAGGGCCTCATGTGTGGAGGATAGATAGCTGCTGGTGGGGACCACAGGCATGACAGGTTACATGTTTTCCATCACCCAAGATGCTAGCCCAGGCTCCTTTGCAGAGAGCCTAGGTCAGATTCCAGGAGAAAGAGACAAAGCCACAACCTCTATAGGCCTAGACCCCTTGGTTCTGCCACATTCATTTGGCCAAAGCAAATCATCGTACCTATTTAGATTCAAGGGTGAAGGAACTACGCCTCTTGCCAGGAGGAGCAAGAAAATCACAGAGCCAAGGGGGGCAAAGACCCATGAGTGGTGAGCTGTGACCACTTTGGCAACACATCACACCCATGACCTCTGTCACTTGCCTCCCATTTACCTCCAGGCTGATCAAGCAGCACGTATTTTCCTCACCTCCTGCAGCTATTTTCCCTTCTCCCAGGCTTGTTTATTCTAGAAGCAAGAGGGAGCTATTGAAAGTCCTCAAGAAAGTAAAGTGGCCACAGACCAGCAGATGGCGTAATGGTTATGTCACTGGACTCCTACGTAGTTGGCCACAGTTCAAGTCCTGGACCTGGCGGCTTAAAATTCACACCGGCACGTGTACATGCATGCCCAAAACCCATAGAGTAGAATAGAAGAGAAGGGATAGTAGGATGGCCATCCACCTTGTAGGGGTGATTTCTCACTTTCAGTCTCTCTGTTTCTCTCTGTCTCTCCAGTGAGCACAAGTACCCGATAGCTAAAAAATAAATAAAATAAAACCTCTCTAACAAAGAATAAGAAAAAAAAAAAAAAAGGAAAGTAGCCAAACAAAAATGGATTTGGAAGATTTTTCTGACATTCAGGGGACCAAGCACCTTTGCCTGAGACATTCAGGAAAATGGGGGGAAAAGAGAAGATATTCAAGGCAGTAGGAACGGAACATACAAAGATCCCAGGTTATAGAGAGACGTCATGGACAATTACAGGGAGTTTCCACTCATCACTTACAGCTAATTAGTGTCGTCTAATTTAGCAACGACATGTACCTCCCTTATGCTCTTCTGGAAAGCCCACAGCATTCATCTCCCCACCTAAAGGCCACAATTAAGGATGTAGAAGCATAATTAAATGTATTTCATTTGCTCAGACAATGCATATGTGTGTGTCCGTCTGCCCTCAGAGAGCTGTTCTACGGGGATGTCTTGTTGCCTTCTGGGAGGGCAGAGGGGTGGTCCAAGTGATCCACTGTTGTCTCAGACCTGATCCGGCCCCTTTCTCAGTGAGCACTGTGGGCAAGCACCCCTCTGAGACCATGCTGACCTTTGTGAAAGAGGGCAGGACCTACTCCCAGCCCTCCTGTGAGGATGACGGGGTGAGGCACACCAAGCCCTGAGCACAGCACCTGGTACCAAGTGTCCAGTAAGTGGGCTCTGCTTCCTCCTCCTTCCTCAGTCAGCGCACACCCCACGGGGCTCCACGTGATAGGACCTCCATTAAGTAGCTCTGTTCTTCACAGCTGGCAGTGACCGTGTTATTCCAGGTGAGGCCTCAGTGCGTATTCCAGGTCTCAAAAGGGAGATCTCGCCCTTGCCGGGTCCTGAGCAGGCCATGTGCACTGCCCAGCAGGCGGGTGGTGTGGCCCCTGCAACCCATTACCTGTGCCACAGGCCATTCGGGCTTTGCAGGGTCGAGGCTGGAAGTCTCTGATGACTTGGAGCATTGGAATTTTATACCTTGGATTGTGTTCGGGACTTAAAAAGCAGCATTCTTTGTTTCTAAGGGTATTTATTTATTTTATGAGTAAGAGAGAGAGAGAAAACAAGCACCAGCAAGGGATTCTTAGTGACTGGATCCGACCCCAGCCTCAGCCAGGCCTGGATCATGGGCGCACGTGAGCCTTATACTCAAGAAAGTCTCCAGACGTGACAGTGAACCCTTGCTCGTGGGATTACCTCCCAGAATATTGCGTTTCACCACCGGACCACCATCTGGCCCCTCAAAACTCAGCATTCTGATTGACTCATTGTCTACACTTCCATTCTCTAATGCCTCTTAACAAACCACTCCAAGACGTAGCAGCTTAACACAGAACAAACACGTATTTGCTGACCATCTGGGAACCTGGGAGGGCTTGGCAGAGACAGCCATCTCTTAGGCTGCTGGTTTGGGTCTGGGGCATGAGGGTGACTTTCCTGTCATCATAGGTACCTCACCAGAGTTGGGTAGAACTAGAGGTTTGGGGGCCTCTTCCTTTCCACACGGCCTCAAAATTCACAAGCTAGGCCACATTCCTCCACCCAGCACCGGGCACCAGATGATGGAAGTGGAAACACAGCCAGCCTCTTAAGAAGGGACTTCTGCATCCTCTGGATCAAAATTAACCACCAGCACTGCCCAGTTCAAAGACAGACAGACAGAGAAGACTGCTTCGAACCCTTTGGTATAAGGGGAAGAGAAAGTGAAAGTGAAAGGAGGAAAGTTAATTACAGAGTTACAGTTTTTGTTGCAGAGACCATTCTAGAACATGAGCCCTAAGAAGGTCTTGCTCAGAACTGTAGGTCTTGGAAAGTTGATCTCATGCCTGGATTTCTAAATTGGACCAGCTGCAGAGGTTCTGTGAACCCCTCCTATGCAAATTATAAGTGTTTGCTTTTATTCCCCTCCCCACCCCCATTTGCCAGAGGGCATGTGTGCCTGCTGGAGAGAGAGAGGAGAAAGTATCCCCATAGAACATGGTCACACCACAATCCCTTCTCCCTCCCTTCAAAATTTTGGGCACACACACACATGTGCCTGGCGTGTTTCTCAAGCTGCCCAGCCTAGGACCTGAACTGCTCAGTTGGCCCTGGGGGAGCCAGCTGCCCCGACCCCCACACCCCTAGTCCCATGTTTACTTTTTGTATTCCTGGATGAAGGTGGGATCTAAAGCACTCAACCACCCCCAAGGAGGCGGAGGCTCAACGCAGGTACATAACCGTAGTAGCACCTGCTCTCCTGTCCACTAACCCAGCCTTCCGCAGAAGCGCCACCCAGCAGTCCCAGGGCTTCAAAAAAAAAAACGAGAACTGTTCCAACAAGCACAAACCTGTCTTGATTTGTGTTTACTTGCACAGGACACCTGTGTTTTCCACAGGAAGATACTTCCCATTTTATTTTATTTTTAGAGGTTTTCGCTATAGGGTGCGTACGCTCGCCAGAAAGACAGAGAGAGACAAAGAGACAGAAAGCAAGAAATCACTCCCAGGGGGGATGGCCACGCCGCAATCCCTTCTCCTCCATTCTCCTCTCGGGATCTTGGGCACGCACGCACATGCACCTGGAGTGAGTTTAAGCCACCGGGTCCAGGACTTGAGCAGCAGTCGACTACGTGGGAGTCCAGCAACACAGCCATTACACTAACTGCTGGTCCCAATATTTCCCATTTTAAAGGAAAGATCAAATTGTTAGGTTGGAAGTGTTCTGAGAATCCTCTCTCTGATTAAAAAAAAAAAATCCAAGGTCAAGAAAGCAGCTGGAGGAGAACCAGCAGTTAGCGTAATGGCTATGTCGCTGAACTCCCACGTAGTCGACCGCGGTTCGCGTCCCGGATCTGGTGGCTTAAAACTCACGCCGGGCGCGTGTGCGTGTGTGCCCAAGATCCCGAGAGGCGAAGGAGAAGGGATTGTGGCATAACCATCCCCCCGGGGGGTGATTTCTCACTTTCTGACTCTAAGTCTCTGTCTGGCAAGCGCACGCACCCTATAGTGAAAACCTCTCAAAAAATAAAAATAAAAAAGGGAAGCAGCTGGGGCAGGGTAGGTCGTGGCGCCGCAGGAACGCAATGGAGCCACACAGGCAGGGTCCTGGGTTTGTGTCCTGGGACTCCTTGAGCACACCAGGCACCCAGGCTGGCAGAGGTAGGGGAGTGGATCATGGCAAAGAAGACCCTGTTTCTTTCTTTCTGTAGTGAAAGAAACAAACTGTTAGGTTGACAGGAAAGTCATGATACATTTTTGCATAGAAAAATACGTCATGACTTTCCCGACAACCTAATGTTTTAACCGGCACCTGGAGAGCATGAGAGGGAGAAAGCGATGGCGGGGACAGAGAGACCAGCCTCGGGGAGCTGTGACTGCCCAGCACTAGCTCCCCTGTCCTGCAAAGAGCCCAGTGTTTTTCAACTGATCAAATATAAGAAACTGCCCAGTTCTTTTGCCACCGCATCTAACTCGTCTTTATTTTTCCCTGCAGCCATGGGACCCGGTGTGCCGGAGAAGTTTCTGCTGCAGCCAACAACAACATCTGCGGGGTGGGAGTAGCGTACAACTCCAAGGTCGCAGGTGAGCCTGGCCTGCCCACAGCAGGCCCCATGCCGGGCAGCCAGCCCCAGCCTGGCCAACACCCAGCATAAGATCCCACTGTAGGACAGAAGAGTAAAGAAAAACATTGTTTCTGTTTTAATCTGCATGGTCAAGGGATCCATTTTAAATTTTTTAATTTGAGTATGATATTGATACAGAAAAGTGCACGGACATAAGCACACATCTCCTGGACTTCACGAACTGGCCACCCCCAGAGAGCCATCAAAAACCTACCAGCAGGCCAGCAGGTGGTGTAGTGGTTAAGGCACTGAACTCCCACATGGTCAACCACAGTTCAAGTCCCAGGCCTGGTGGTGGCTCGCTCTCTCTCTCTCTCTCTCTCTTTCTCTCTCTCCTCTCTCTCTCTTTCTCTCTCTCTCTCTGTCTCTGTCTCTCTTGGATGACTGCATATGTCTTGTAGAAATTTAAAAATAATCATAATAATGAGAAATAAAATAAATAATTCTTTAAAAGAAAAAATCTACCAGCACCCAAAAGCCCTCCTCTTGTCCCTTCCCAGTTACCACCCATACTCCCAAGCATAGCTACAATCTTGTGTTCTAACAGCAAAAATTGATTCTTTCTAGCTCTTCGAACTTCACAGAAATGGAACTGTACAGTGACTATTCATTTGTGTCAATGTCAGTAACATTTTGAGACTCGGATACAGGTGATAGATTATAAGGAGGATGTACACAATCTTTATAAATATACAGCCCTTCGAAATGCTGTGCACAATCCCCTTTCATCTTCAAGGAGATATAGTCTCACTAGAACCTATTTACTAAATTGTGCTGGTTAGGATATTTACCAATTTCCTCCTCGTGCAGGCTTTAGAAATGAGAGTAGCAAGTCACTGGAAATTTAGAAACCAACAATCACATCCCC